ACAAACATTGTTGTAAGGGTTCCTTTTTATTCAGCTCTATACTGTAAGCTTGTGTTAATGATAAATGGTGAGTATATTGTATTAGGATAATCAATTAGGCCTGTGAATGCTACAGAGTGGACTTATAATGCTAAAAATCAAGGTTTGATACCCGTGGTGGGCACAGCATAGATAGCCTATGGTACAGCTTTGTGCTTAACTACAAACAAACAAAACCAGAGTGGATAGGATGGTGAAAACTTTCCACAAAAAATCTTAATCGTATTTTGCAATTTAAGCCTAATCAGTATGCTGTTGGAAACAATGATAATACCCGTGTGTACGCATACAGGTTTATACGAGTATCAGCCATTTCATTTTTATCAACTGACTGATTAATCACTTTTAATCTTTAAATATGAGAACAATAGAATGTGGAAACAATGATTTCTACTGTATATTTGTATTTTACATGTACTAGCCAACTGTAATTTCACACAGCTGAGACATTTATCAAGATGAGCCGGATAGCTACTATATAGATAGTTGTTTATCTTGTATGTATACAGCTTACTATTAAACTATCAGTAGTAGCCTTTAAGAAACTTTAAGTAATTCCTTAAATACACTATAAATGTTTAAGCAGTTGGTTTCATGTCCATTAATTAAAATGTTAGTATCAGGTGCACAATGGTCCCTTTTTTTTTTGGGTGGTGGATCAGGATATTACCTAACGAATTACCCACACCTCACTCAGGTTTGCTTAAGTCACACTCGAGAGGAGTTGAGTTGGTATTACTTATGGCCTTGAAATACATGTTAGATTATATTGTATGAATTTAGACTAATGAGCTGTATTAATACGTCTAATTTTTACCATTTGGGACTGGCTAATTGGAAGAGCTCTGAGTACTCTATATTAACTTCTGGATAACATTTCTTAGAAAACAAGCTGTCAGTTATTCTGTAGTTTGTATGTTTTTAAATTTCGCATAAAGCTACACTAGAGCTATCTGTCCCTAATTTAGTAGTGAAACACTATAGGGAAGGCAGCTAGTCATACCACCTACCCCTAACTCTTGGGCTACTCTTTTACCAACGAATAGTGAGATTGACCATCACATTATAACACCCCCACGGTTGAAAGGGCGAGCATGTTTGGTGGGACAGGGATTCGAACCCGCAACCCTCAGATTGCGAGTGAAGTGTCCTAAACACATGGCCATGCCGGGCCTATTCTGTACTTATAAAACCATATTAATGATAAAAAAAATTAAGCAATTTTATTTTTATATCAAAACGGGCTATTTGTCTTTCCAAGCTATTCTGGGAAGTACTTAATGAATTGGTGAACAACTATTAAAATTAGTACACAACAATATTCATTCATAATATACGATACATTTATTCTTCAAGTTTTTGATGTACATGATTTGAAAAACAGAAGAAAGCAATAAGCAGATAAATAAAATATCACTGTATAAGTGTTAATGAAAAAAATCATGCCAATATTTCTTGGGCTGGGTAAGATAAATAAACTAAACTTGACACAACTTAAAAACTCGAAAAGACTTTTTAACTTTGAAAAGGGTAAAAATAGAATAAATTTAAACAAAAATCATTCAATCTGCCTGAAACTCCAATGCTTTAGAAATATGTAAAAAAAAAAAAAATTGTTGAATTTTGCAGCGCAAAGTTACTCAAGGGCTATTTGTGCTCAACGGTCGCTAATTTTGAATTAATAATTAATAGACTAGAGAGAAGGCAGTTAGTCAACACCACCTACTGCCAACTCTTCAGTTATTCTTTACGAATGAGTAGTGGGATTGATCGCTACAGTATAATATCCCATGACTGAAAGGTCAAACATGTTTGGGGATTGGTTTCTGTCCAGCGAGTCAAGCACCCTAATAATGTTGTTGTTGTTTGTAGTTATGCACAAAGCTACACAAAGGGCTATCTGTGCTCTGTCCACCATGGGTATCGAAACCCGGTTTCTAGCAGTATAAGTCCACAGACATATCACTGTGCCACTTGGGGGCTCACCCTGACAAAACAGGCCAAAAAAATTATTCTTACAACAGCAACTTGTGTATAAAAAGTGAAAAATATGCCAGGGGAGGCAAAACAGTAATTCAGTTTTTTTTAATGTTTACTGTGGAATTTGATCTGACTTACTCATTATAAAATACATCAACTACTAATCATGACTGTTGAATTCTAGTTATATTGTATCTGTATTTTGTTTAACAAGATTATTTTTACATTAACATTATTTGAAATTAGGGTTAATCTACCATAAGCTAAGATTTACTGGCAACCTATCAATGCCTTAGTGAATAATAATAGTGATTAATAGTTCTAGCAACTGTAAAATTGCTTTGGTGTCTTTCTTCATAAGGAATTACATTTTTCACAATGCTAACAGAGAAAAATATTTGTATGTGTATAATCCGAGTTAAACAATACAACCATCACAACATACATGAATTATTTAATTTGTGCTCTCATAACATATATATATATATATATACATGTCAGTGGCACTTGATAATAAGTAGGGAATAAAAAATAAGTTACATATATGGTGGATTTATTTAAAAACTTTCCTTCAAGTGCAGAACTTGCATACAGGGTGAAGCAAAAGTCACACACCACCTTGATGTTTTGTTTTTTAACTTATGCCTTTACTGTGATTTTTCTAAGTTATAGTTATGTATTCTAACTGTCTCTTTTTTCATTGTTACAGTAAATGGTCAGGATATCATTAATTTTCAAGAATGTGTGAAAGTGATTCTGTTGTGATATTGTTTCATAATGTTAATGGTGCACGGTTAATTGGTCAGGATATCATTAACTTTCAAGAACGTGTGAAAGTGATTCTGTTGTGATATTGTTTCATAATGTTAATGGTGCACGGATAATTAGTCAGGATATCATTAACTTTCAAGAATAATTAACCGTGCACCATTAACATTATGAAACAATATCACAACAGAATCACTTTCACACGGAGAAAGACTTAGAAAAATCACAATCAGGTGCAACTTTTATATCGTTCTTTACACTAGATTACCTACAACACTATTTCCGAGAGTCATAAAAGATAACTATATCGTCTACCGCTGCTACAGACAGTGTGACTTTCATAAATAGTAAGATGGTATTATGTGTGATCTACTTTAGGAAATTTACAAATCTTTGAAACTAGAACATTGATCAAAACAATACACATAGTTATTGGTCTGCATTTTTGTAATAATAAAAATGCAAGCACGTTTTCAATATTCAAACAAATACAGCAAGAAAAAGATAATTTTTCTTAAACCATACTGCACACACACACACAAAGGAATTTACAGGTTTATAAATTAAATTGTGTGTTATCATTATTTATCGTCTTTGGTGGATAATAATAAGTTTCACCTGAGATTTAGTCACTATCACCAATTATAATTTAGGCTAATTTACAAACATTTTTCTCAAGTTGTTTCAGAGTGTCCTATATATTTGTGATGTAAGCATTTTCTACAATTAAAATATATTAAAGCTGTGCATAACTGAACAAGAGAAAACTTTGAAATTTTTAAAATATTTTATATAAACTGCTTCTTCCCAAACTTGTGATATAAAACACATTAATGAGCAAAACCTCACAAACAAATTTTCTGACACTTCTGTACAGTCAGTCATATGGGGAACAGTAATTTTTAAACAGCTTACGAGCTTGACAAAGATGACTGAAATACATCACACATAGTACATGGCAGTGTCTTATAAAATCCCTTTCTATAGCTCTTCTGTGTTCACATTGCTACATTCCTTGGTCCTTCGGCTTAATATATCAAACATCTCAAGTCCTCAGGTTTTCAGTTAAAAGAAACCTTTAAGTTTTATTTTTACAAATGTTCAATGTCATGATACACAATACATTTGGAAAGGATAACGTTCCTTAATTCTAGCGATGAGTCCTTCTTGTTAAAAACTTGCTTGTACACGAGGGCTTCAGAATTTAACTTTACCTGGCTGATAATTCAATCAGTACAATTATTCTTCTCTAAAGGTGAACACCCATGAGGAAAATATGCTTGTTTCCAACCTTCAGCATTCAAAATCAGATGCAGTTATCGCATTCAAGTCTTTCATTAGACCTTCTAAGTTAGTCATCTCCTGGTTGAGGTCCTCTGTGCTGCATGATGACTGGAACGATGAAATAAGAGTTATTACACGTTAAGTTATATGTAATAAAATTGAGAGAAAATATGGTTATAATACCTTTCTAGCAATAAAAGTTATTCACAAAGTGCTCGCAGCCCTTATTCAGGAAGTACAAAGAATTATAGCCTATTTGGTGTTTGAAGAAACTATAAATATCCAGATTATTTTTGTTGTTGTTATTTTTGAATTGCAATTCTAAATAATCTTGCAAATTTAAAACACTGATTCATTTTCCTTAGTTTTCAGGGAAGCAACAGTTTTTATTTTAAATTTCTCATATCAATCTGGATTTAGGAAAACCATGCCAAATTAGTGAATGGGGATAATGAGTTAAAAACTGATATGCAACAGATATGGGAAATTTAAAAAAATTAATTGTTTTTAATTCAAGATAAATATGTTCCAAAAAAAGAGGAAAAGGATAAAAAGATCAAAATTAGTTAGCTACTTAAGTACATAAACGAGAAAATCAGGGATAAGTTCCACAAGTCTGAAAAGTTAAAATTAAAATAGGATGGAGCATTTTCAAAACTATTGAAAAGCTAATGATTTGGTTAGAAAAAAAGAAATTAGGAAATCAAAAGGGCTTATGAGAAACAGCTGGTTGATAATGTTAAAATTAATAGTAAGGACTTTTTAAAAGCAAACAAAATATTAAAATGGGAATTCGGATGCTGATAGCAAGGTTTTTATTGAAAACAATGAGATGGCTGAGCTTTTAAATGATGTCTTCTCAGGTTATACAAAAGACAATATTAGGGATATTTCTGACCCTGAGCACAAAAAAAAGTTAAAACACAAAGAACACACAATATTTTACCCATGTTTTTTGAGAGCTCAACAGATAGTGGGCAGGTGCATGAAGATTGGAGAGCTTCTAATGTTATTTCTATTTCAAGATGGGATAATAAAAAGAACTGCCCTGGAAATTAATGGACAGTTAGACTTACTTATGTAGTAGGGAAAAATTGTGAGAATCTGATAAAATAAAATTTATCAAATCCTTTAATAAAATGTAATATCATAAAAGAAAGCCAACATGAATTCATTAAAGAAGAATCTTGCCTTATTAATCCGTTAACTTTTTTTTTGGAATACGTAATTTGTTATCTGGATGATGGAAATGGTGTGGACTTGGTGTACTTAGATTATCAAAAACAAGTTTTAACAAGGTGCTTATTATTAGCTAAGAAAATTAGTGGTAAGGATTGGGGAAAACTAATTAATTGGATTTATGGGTGGTTGGATAACAGAAAGTAAAAGGTTATTATTAACTTAGCCTAGTCAAACTAGACCCTCGTTATCAGTGGAATTTCTCAAGAGTCAGTGATTTATGCTTTTTTCTTATTTATGCTAATGATACTGATAGGGTTATAAGTTAGTAAATTTTGCTGATGACATTAAATTTGGGTATTTCTAGTTGTACTGAGGATTTTAAGGTACTCTGGAATGACTTGGATCAATTGACAAGTTGGGCAAGTATTTGACAAATAACACTTAATTATAGCAATGATAATGCATTTGAGTTATCATAATATGAAATTGATGCAGTGCTGTGTTGCTAGCAGTAAAGACAACAGAATTCTGGATATATTTATAGACATACTAACAGAGATCCACAAATCACTGTTGTCAAATTAGTATCTTTATTAAAACAGTACTTATTTAAATACAGGATTTCTAGAATGCACAACAATTCTAATTGCACATACCAAAATCTGTTAGTTCACTTGTCTTAGGCCTAACATTAGTTTAGCCTTTATTAAGTATGGGCTATATTCCATAAAGAGATAAATCAACACCGTAACTTGTGTATGTTTTTTGCTGTAGTCAAGTTAAATACAGGATTTCTAGAATGCACAACAATTCTAATTGCACATACCAAAATCTATTAGTTCACTTGTCTTAGGCCTAACATTAATTTAGCCTTTATTAAGTATAGGCTATATTCCATAAAGAGATAAATCAACGCTGTAGCTTGTGTATGTTTTTTGCTGTAGTTTAGTTATGGCTAAACTTTACCATACGTAATACTATCAATAGGTTTGCTGCTCTTACCATAACTTCATCTCCTCCTGCAGATTTTGAAGAGTGATCTGGTAGGTTTGCTGCAGTAGTAGTGTTACTAACTGTTGATGACTGAGAAAATGAGCTATCAATAACATTAGGTGTACTTGTACTCCCGGAAGATGCTGCCTTTCTGTAAGGACTGGCAATTCCCTGAGCTCTGACACCTACGAATCACAAATAAATAAATAATGACAATAATAATGACAATAAACTTTAAAAGCATTTAGCTGAACACAAAAATTATGTCTGTTGAAAGAAAAAGCAAAATAACTATTTGTTGAGGATTTAATTTAACCATAAAAAAAATTTGAGAATGTTTTGCACTGAATAATGAATGTGTAAAATCATGGTGTAATTTCTAGATAGTAAGAAAATTAAAAACTCAATTTTTGGTACTTTTGTATTTAGAAAACCCACAGTACTACATACTAGTTATTCTGAGTTTGACAATAGTACAACTGATGTGAAAACATTTACAGAACATTAAAATTATAAAACAAGACACACTAAAATTTACTAACAAAATGTCAATATAGCTGTAACACCTTATTTTTAATTTATGTCTGTGTGAAATCAAATAAGTTTGAAATATACATTTCAAATGGCACAATAAAGTGAAATAACACTAATAAAGAAAAAAATTATGAAGTCTTTCAAGTAAACATCTTTTTCGTAACTTATTTTTAGCAGTTTTACTTTAATTTGAAATGATATAGTCATTTTAATGTAGCTGTGAGAATGGACTGTTGAGGGTTTTACAGCTTATTCAATAGAAGAAAATTATGCACAAGTTCGTCTTAAATGTTCTGTATAATGCTATCATTATTCCTACCAATGCAATTACTACATCTCCTCTCATCATTTTGGGCTTTAATATTAACCATTACTCAATACCTTTTAATCAGTTAATATATTTACACCGACTCAAAATATTTCAAAAAACGTTACCTATATGTTTTGGCTGTGGCACTGTAGGAACACTTTGTGGTGGGGGAGCAGGTACACTAAAGCTCTTAAGTGGGTGTTCTATGGGACGTTTACTCAAGGCAGTGTTTCCGCTCATGTTGGAGTGATGTGGGTTGGTATATGTCGCGTGCTGCCCAGTGCCTGTAACAAAAGGTGTACCCGATACCAAGGGTGGAGTAGAAGGAATTCGTTCATACAGAACAGAGGACATCTGTCCAGATGGTGAAACCAATTCTGGTGAACCTTATTGCAAAGAAAGAACACTATTATAAATTTTAAAAACAATTACGGTAAATCAAACTAGTGTTAAGTGGTGTCAGTAAAAACAATACCTTTAATTTGAAATGTTCTGTACAAAAATACATATTTCTGTGAGCTAAAAACAAGTTGCCCTTAATTTTATTCACAGTATTATTACTACTAAAGCTCTGTGATTTTGTTTGCCAATAAAACATAAGAGTATATGTTTAGATTTACTCCAATTTTTAAGCTCAATGTCTGTCAATTGTTAAGTATGAGCACAATTTAACAAGGCTAAAAAACAAAACAAAACAGAAATAGTTACAAAGCTATGAAGCAGTTTGGGATAATAACTCCCATACCTGAGAGAGAAGGATTAACATTGGCTCGGGCGATATTATACTGGGTTCGTGGATACACAGGGCGAGTCATGCTTGACATTCCAGAATCATAGTGCTGGTTAATATTACCATTAGGTATAGGTGACACTGTAGCAGTTGCTGTTTTATTAGTATACAAAAAAATAAAATTAATATTGTAATTACATTTCAAAATGAAAATGAATTACTATTTTTTTTTGCATCATTACATATGCTTATAGAGAGACAAGGTTTGTAAATGTCTAACAAAAATCAGCATCAATTACATCATGCGAGCTGTTTGGCATAATTTTGATAATAAATTGGTGGGGGGGGGAAACAAGCTATACGCTGTTTTCCCATTGATTTCAATTACTGATGGATCAGAATCACGATTCAATCATGGGGTATATAGCAGAATATCTATAATTCATTCATAACCATTGAGGAACAAAGAGTTTTGAAAACAGCATATACACATTTTTTTGGAAAGGATGAAGTAACAATTGAAATAACAGATGCCTCTTGATAATATTAAATAATTTTACAAGTCAAAGCATCACATTTCTGAGACTGTACATAAGAAAATATCAAATTTCTGACATTACCTATTCCACTATCTTTTCTAAGTAGAAAACTTCACATTTCTTACACTACTTAATCCATAGTCCTAAATATAAAATATTACATTTCTTGAACTACCTAATCTACTGTCTTTTCTAAATAGAAAATACAACATTTTTAATACATCTAGTCTTTTCTAAATATAAAATATCATATTTTTGACACTACCTATTTCACAGTCTTTTCTAAATAGAAAATATTACATTTCTTGAACTACCTAATCTACTGTCTTTTCTAAATAGAAAATACAACATTTTTAATACATCTAGTCTTTTCTAAATATAAAATATCATATTTTTGACACTACCTATTTCAGTCTTTTTTTATGTAAGAAACATCACATTTCATACACTGTTTAATCCATAATCTTTTCTCGATAGAAAATATTGTACTTCTGACACTACCTAATCCACATTTTTTTTATGAACATAAACTATCAAATTTCTGATACTACCTAATCCACTGTTTTTTCTCTGTAGAAAATACTACATTTCTGACACTAATTACCTCACTGTTTTTTATAAATGGGTAACTACTTGACTTACACTATCATCCAGGTTCCTTACCTTAGTGTTTCTTCAGTTATTTGTACAGAAGCAGAAAATAGAAAGTGGCTGGAATAAAGTTCCATTTAACCACCATCTATAAACCTTTAAAAATGGTCGATTTTTGTATAAAATGTAATAAATGCTTCATTTAATTATAATGTATTATTATTTCATGTTTATTTTTTAGGCTTATGAAGAAAACGAAGTAGCTCAAGATTCATCCAAGAAATAGATTCTTGTTTGTAGTTTCTGTATTTAATTTTTTTTAGGGGCAATTAAGAGCAACGAGTACACTTCTTTGAAAAGTTTTAAAATTAAACATTCAAATACTTGGAAATACAATAATAATAGTTTTAGTTTAGTTTTTACAAGTAAGTTATTTAAAATGATGACTCATAAACATGACTTCCATGGTTTAACTATCACTGCTCTTTGTCTAACATTATGTCTCGAGAGAAGATTACCATCACATGCTGAGTAAATTTATTCTAGTTACTTCTCGAACATATTTTATCATATTTTAATGTTGTAAAAGTGAATACTAAAATTAGTGTTGTTTTTTTTTTCCACAAAAGAAGGAGAATCAGTATTACACTGAAATTATTACTTAAATACTTACATTCTCTTAGGGGAGACTGTTGAGAATCAACAGGAATCATTATAGGTTTGGCTCTTACAGTCCTCCGGGGAAGAGAGGAATTGTCATTGGCTTTGCTTTCATCCTGATGTGAAAGGTCTGATGTTTTGGTAAGGCAAAGAATGAAAAAAAAAAAGAAGGAAAAAGAAACCAAGTACAAAACTGCAATGAAATATAATGAAAAGAAAACATTTGGTATAAATTAACTAATCTCCTAAAAAATTCAGTCATTTTAATGGGAAAAAAATTGAAGAAAATCATGTAAAAATTAGTAATCAGTTAAAAAAATCACTTAAAAAAATAATAGAATCATCTTACAACAAATAAAAAAAAATATGTATAATAAAAGAAGAGTCCTTCCTGGTATCTTAATTTGTGAACTAGATTTTTTTTATTTAAAGATGATAAAAGGATGGTGTGTGTAATTTTTTCATTTTATAATTACATTCTTAACCCAAACATGGTTTATGTTTTGCTATTTATGTTTTATAATTATTTTAAGTTGTCTACTTCAGTATAAAACTGCACCTAATCCCAGTGACTAGTAACTTGTCTTCAAAGAAAATAGTTCACAAGAAAGAGAATTGTTTATTTCATATGTAGCTAACAGTTTCTTCTCTGTCTTGTTTCTATGTTAACCCTAGTTTTCTTTTACTGGAGAACCTGAGAGATAACATTTTGAAATACTAACAATTCAAGTACCTGTGTATAAAGGCCCTTTCTTTCTTTCCAGAGTGCTAATCATTGAATCATTGTTTAGTTCTTGCGAATTACGTGGAATAGGTGTAACCGTCATCGTTGTTTCAGCACTATGCTCTTTATCCAACGACTTTAGTTCCATCTGATCATGATGAATCCACAGATCTGGTGGTTTAAGATCCTTGTTCACTCCCATACCTTTTATTGCTGTTTTGGCACTATAAATAAATTAGTTTCCACTCTTCAGTCTTAAAAGAATTTAAGAAGGTCAAGATCAGATAAAGGGATACAAAACATAGAACCTACTGGCTAAAAAAAAAGGCATCCATTTTTAAAAGTAACTTTGATTTATGAACACTTGTTTTAAAAAATTCGTTTGTTTTAGTTATAGATTTTGAAACTTTTGTTTTTACTAGTTTTCTCTTTAATTATTATATCAATTGATATATATGTGACATTACTTTAAGAAATATGGTTCAGTTAGTTAGTTGGACCACACACTACATTAATTAATAAGTTAAAAGTGCTTTATTTGAAACAAATTAATCCTTTTAATGGAACCTACTGGCTTACATACAATGAACAATTCTCTGATAGCATCAAACAATAGAAGGTTTTGCTTTGTAACAACTTGATTTTAATCTACAACCGAGAAGACCTGCTATAACAAAGTATACAATGTTTATGAACAATTCTCAAATTTGAAAAAAACCTTTGTATATTTCATGTATTTTTACACTCGTTTGTGAATACAGCTTTAATATCCAATCATAAGAAGAAAAAGGGTCTATAGAAAGTGTGGAAAAACTTGCATGTATAGAATCTAATCACAGGCTAATAACCATATAGTCTTTTTTTTTTATCTCTGTACTTGTTTAGTTTCCATTAGTTTTGAATTTTGTAGTATTTGACAACTGAAATTTCAATTAGAAAAATGGTTTAAGTTACATAAATCTTGTTATACTTTCCCATTTGGTGTATGTCTTGTGTAAAAATTTCATCTGCTAATAAAAATATAAACTACCTATGTATCGTGATGTTGGTGCCGATTAGTAATGGAGTCTGGATGTTTCCTTCACAATTAATTAAACCAAATCATGAGATCAGAGAACGAAACATTTTGATAGATAAGAGCAGAGGTGATGTCTAGCATGTGTAAATATATACAGGTGGATATGTCTAACGTGTAAATATATGGGTACAGATGAGGTCTAACGTGTAAATATATGGGTACAGATGATGTCTGACATGTAAATATACGGGTAGAGATTATGTCTAACGTGTAAATATATGGGTACAGATGATGTCTAATGTGTAAGTATACAGGTGGAGATGATGTCTAACATATGTAAATATATGGATAGAGATGATGTCTGACATGTAAATATATGGGTAGAGATGATGTCTAGCACGTGTAAATATATGGGTAGAGATGATGTCTAGCATGTGTAAATATATGGGTAGAGATGATGTCTAGCATGTGTAATCATATGGGTAGAGATGATGTCTAGCATGTGTAAATATATGGGTAGTTATGATGTCTAGCATGTGTAAATATATGGGTAGTTATGATGTCTAGCACGTGTAAATATATGGGTAAAGATGATGTCTAGCATGTGTAAATATATGGGTAGAGATGATGTCTAGCATGTGTAAATATATGAATAGAGATGATAAAGAATTAAAGGTAAGAACCAATGCTTCTTCAAGTGGAATTTCATGACTGGATAGAAGAGGTAAAAGGAAAGTAGGGTTATCATTGCTGAATAAAGAAAAAACTTTGGAATTACATAGAAATCTCCATCTTATTTCTATTCCACATATTATGCAAGCAGTTATCAGTCACAGTCCTTGTCTGTATGAGTGAAAAAACTATGTCAGTCTTAAGTAAAAAGATCTGTTGACTCCCCAAATATAGAGGAGGTCCCCACTCATGTCTTATTCAAGTCTTTATAATAAGCTCTAATTAATGACATATTTCTAATTCTACCCATTACTATACTATTATGTAAATTATAAAAGTATGCTGGGGATTGTTTGTCTTTTTTAATGTTTCATTCTGAGAACTCAAATTGTTGAAATTCAGAACGACGCAGTCTATAGCCCATCAAAGGAGTAAGAAAGAAGTGATAAAAGTTCAGGAGATTCAAAAACTCACACATGGAGAGAAGATCAAGAAATTACTATATACCAGTAATTTCATTTATACCGTACAATCTCTATATTTTACTAAAACCAAATTTTGTTATTCTGACCAATAAATTTGCAGTCCTCAATCTAAACCAACTTCTAGAGACTTTAAGTGTAAAAAGATTGTCAAAATTACCTCTCGAAATATTAAATATTTTGTAGCCCAACTCAGAAAATGTTAACTCTAATAATCTTAGCTGAACTATTACATCTTAAGAGATATAGGAAAAACCTTTCGTGTATAGTTCACAGTTTTTGAGTTTTATCACCAGTTTTCAATCCATGTCACCATCTTCTGATTGAGTTAACAGGATGTCTTCACCTTTTGATTGGTCCAATAAGATATAACTTTCAATAAATAACCCTTTCAAAAGCTGACATGATGGACACATGAAGTAAACAAGCTCATAAAATTTATTAATTTTTGAATGAAGACTCAGAACAAAGAGTAAACTCACAAGTAAACATTTAGTATTATGTGTATGAATGGGAATCCTTTTTAATTCTAATATTTCCAACTCAGACATGTGTATCAGTTTATTCAAAATAAAAAAAATATTTTGCCCATTTTAGTGGCCTCACTGACTCATTTAAATGTACAATTGTAGTTCCTAATATTTTGCTATTGATCAAATTTAAATATTTTCTTATAAGTGAAACTATTGATTCCCAGGTTACCATATTGTTACTGAACATTCTACTGTTGTACTGTGATCAACATTTACAAAGAGATGAAAATGACAAAAACAAGGTGTTACTCCAACACGTTGAGGGGAACTTGTCTAACGCTTTTTTTCTAATTCTTACCATTAATGATCAGAACTGGAAGATAAAGACAGAAAGAAGAAGGACAAAGTAGGTTTGGTCAGGTCAGAATGAAAAAGAAAAAGGCTTAGGAGGTGAATTAAGTGTGACCAATGTAAAAAATGGATGAGAACCTAAAATGAGGAACTGAGTGTTAATGTAACTATTATTTTTTTCAACCCTTGAATTATGCTTTAAAATTAATTAGGTCCTTAAGCCAAGTTTTATGAGACAAAAAAAAAAGTGGAGACACAATGGTAAATATGTCAAAGAGCATTATATTTCAAAGGTTTTTCGAAGTTAGTTGTGTGTGATTCTGAATATGACACAAATGTTTTTGTTTATATACATAGTTTTTTTTAAGTTATAAACACTCTTATCTGTTTTGGTAAGTTCCAGTTACCTGATGCATTTATTTTTATTTATACACTGCACTCTTTGCTACAAAATAAGAGTGGAAGGAGAATCATGAAGAAAGGTGTTTTGCATTATTACCTCAGTTGGTTAACTCATCCATCTCAACTCAAACTACTAGTCTTTATTATATTAAGAAGTAATTCTAGTGTGAAAATGTCTTTCTATAGAAAATTTCACTGTTTAGTCACAAAACAAAACAAGAGTCATTACTTACTCTGATTGGTCAAAACAGTTATGTTGACCATAGATATAATATTAATTTTCCTGGCAACACATCTAGGTCTAGAATCACATTTTATCAAATAAAGTCAATTATTATCATATCCTTGTCATTACTTTTGGTAATATATATGTCAATGGTGTCATTCTTTTGGCAATATTTTTTAATTGCGTCATTCTTTTGGTGATACATCTCAATGGTGTTATTCTTTTGGTAATATTTGTCAACTGTGTCATTCTTTTGGCAATATTTGTTTAATGTGTTATTCTTGTAGTGATACATGTGAATGGTGTTATTCTTTTGGTAATATTTGTCAATTGTGTCATTCTTTTGGCAATATTTGTTTAATGTGTTATTCTTTTAGTGATACATGTGAATGGTGGTGTTCTTTTGGTGATATATGTCAATTGTGTCATTCTTTTGGAAATATTTGTTTAATGTGTTATTCTTTTGGCAATACATGTCAAAGTTGTCATTCTTTTGGTAATAAATGTCAATGGTGTGAATTGTTTAACAATATATGTCAATGGTGTGAATTGTTTGACAATATATGTCAATGGTGTGAATTGTTTAACAATATATGTCAATGGTGTGAATTGTTTAACAATATATGTCAATGGTGTGAATTGTTTAACAATATATGTCAATGGTGTGAATTGTTTGACAATATATGTCAATGGTGTAAATTGTTTAACAATAAATGTCAATGGTGTGAATTGTTTAACAATATATGTCAATGGTGTGAATTGTTTAACAATATATGTCAATGGTATGTGAAATTGAGAGAAAGGTAATGTTGAGTCAACATTTAAATGGTTCAACCCTGAAAACTAAAGTACAAAATATAAATAGAGTTAGAGTGAGGTCCCATTTATCTGACACTACTGGTCAATTGATCACCTACAACTTCAGTTTGGATAATGATTGTAAATGTAAATATAAAAAATTGCATTATTTTATTTATTTACATGTTCCGGTAATATTGTATGAAATAAAAGAATACAGGTTGACCCATGTCACAATATATAAACAGCTTTAAATATAAGGTTACTACTTTTATTTAGATTTTCAGTTTAACAGCTGTACATACAGTATATTTTTTTTTACAAACTTATAAATGTACACTTTAGGCTTAGGAGAAAAAAAAAATGACCATGTAGATAATACAGTCATTTTGGTGGTTTATTTTGATTATATATATTCACCCATATTGTTTCGTTATAATATTAGGTCTCTATACATAAATTGAATGCAAAAATCCAATTCACAGATTAATCAAGTTTAAAAAAAAATACTGCATGAATCTAATGAGCTCACACGTAGCTTGAAACAAAAAACACAACAACATACCTTTTATTTCGAAGAGGTGTGAGATAGCCATGGCGACGGCGACAAACAAAGACGCTTACAATAGTTATAACAAGCAAGGTTATACTTGATACACATGCAATAATAATATATAACATGCTGTTTGTAAGTCTATTTCCATCTGAAACAAAAAATTATGAAGAATTACATTTACTGTAATACTTTTCTTTTAGAATTCATATACTAGAAATTAAAACTGAATTCCATTTTTATTTTTTATTTATGAACACGACTAAGATTTTTAATTTACTAAAAAGATTTTCGTAATATTAACCCATTGACTGCTGATTCACTACAGTCCACCTCCAGCAGTTGAATGCAAGTGTGCCATATACAGTGTATGTCTTGCAAAACGTTCGTGCCCATTTATAGTAACTGCAGTCAGTGGATTAACAATGAATCTTTGAATCAACTCCTTTGTAAGCTTTCAGACTGTGCACTATTTTATGAGGAATCCAATGGTGTTAATCAACCCGAAAAAAACAAACAAACAAAAAAAAAACTGGAGAAGATGAGACTTTCTTCTTTGGTAGATGGCAAAATTGTCGCTTGCCTGACTGAGGTCATGGTGTTATTATAATAGAATACCTGTATAGATTCTTGTGAAGCCAGTAATCATTTGGAACTGTAAGGACAACTAGCATATTTTCAGTCAAGGCTGCAGATATATCAAAGAACAGATATCGTAAACATCAGACTCAAAGCAGATTTACACGTGTCATGTAGTGAAGTAATTGATGTCCTACCAGTGCAGCAGTGATAATAAGATAACAGTTGCACAGAAAACAAGCCATAAAAAGAGGTCAGAGAAGAATTTCTGTTGGTACTCATAAAAATGCCAAATGCCCAAAGATAAGCATGTCTACCTACAAACTAGGTACATCCACAGAATTGTCGAAATATATCTGGACAGCCATAGAAAGCAGAGAGCGTGGTTAATTTTGAGGAGATAGAAAACTACTATGACCACTATATCCATAAAAAAAAAGCCATAGCAAATAACTATTTAGTTCAAGCCCTATGGATTCCTATATTTTATTCCATCTTTTCTGGATTTACAGATCTTGTGTGAGCCTTAATTTGTTATCAAATCAGAGATTCATTGATAATTCTTAAATAATGCTCTGTTCAAAACAAAAATGACAATTGAAAGAAGGCTTCATAAAGCTTAATAATATAAATGAATCAGAGGTTTACTAAGTTTCTCAACTACCAATATTAACATATTTTATAAACCTAAAGTAAGTCTTTATGAAATCATATTGTGCTTGGCAACAATTTTCATTTTGTTTTCACAAGTCATGAGAAAAATTTGAAATTTTTATGGCCATTAATAAATCTCTATAAGACGACATTCATAATTATTATATATATTTTTTATAAGAAATGAAAAATTATAAATTATTGAATTAATTCCACATTTAATAATAAAATTTTTTGCTCAACTTACTGCTTCATTGAATTTCTTGCAAAGCTACTCAAGGGCTATCCAAACTAGCTGAAGTGATAGACTAGAGGGAAGGCAGCTATTCAGCACTACCCACTGTCAACTCGTGGGTTACTCTAATCAAATAGTGGGACTTGACTGTTACTCTTATAATGCACCCATGGCCTCAAAGTGCAGATTACAATTTTTTATTTTGGCAGTATCAGGCTGCAACCCACATAACCTCTGATTCACAGTCTGGCATGTTAACCACCAGGCCATGTTCCCCCTTTGTTCAACTTAAACATTCCTTGTTATAAGAAAACAATTAAATAAATGAAATAAAAAAAAAGATGAATAATACCAATGCAAATCATCTCCAATAAACATTTTCAACAGTAAAGAACAAGTTTAACATAGTTTGTTACATAGCACCACAAGTAAAATGTGTAGCAAAGTTTAGAGATAGTTTTAATGGATTACAAAGAAAACTTTACTACAAGTTTAACAAAGTGATAAACGTACAAAGTTTCAACCAGGTTTTATCATCAAGTACAAAGTAGCCACATCAAAACAATGTACATTTATTACTGTGGTGTTCTTTTGGTGATACATGTCAATGGTGGTGTTCTTTTGTTTGGTAATATATGTCAATGGTAGTGTTCTTTTGGTGATACATGTCAATTGTGGTGTTCTTTTGGTGATACATGTCAATGGTGGTGTTCTTTTGTATGGTAATATATGTCAATGGTGGTGTTCTTTTGTATGGTAATATATGTCAGTGGTGGTGTTCTTTTGTTTGGTGATACATGTCAATGGTGGTGTTCTGTAGTTTGGTAATATATGTCAATGGTGGTGTTCTTTTGGTGATACATGTCAATGGTGGTGTTCTTTGTTTGGTAATATATGTCAATGGTGGTGTTCTTTTAGTGATACATGTCAACGGTGGTGTTCTTTTGGTGATACATGTCAACGGTGGTGTTCTTTTGGTGATACATGTCAATGGTGTTGTTCGTTTGGTAATATATGTCAATGGTGGTGTTCTTTTGACAATATTTGGCAATTTTGTCATCCTTTTAGCAATATATGTCAATGGTGTCATTCTTTTGGTGAAATATGTCAATGGTGGTGTTCTTTTGGTGATACATGTCAGAGTTGTTATTCTTTTGGAAATAAATGTCAATCACTTGATAATATATGTCATGGTATGTTAAATTCACAGAAAGGGTACTGTTGAGCCTACATTCAAATTGTTCAACCCTGAAAAATAAAGTACAAAATATAAAGAGAGTTAAGAGTGAGGACTTAATAATTATCTGACATTTCTAGTCAACCAATCACCCACAACTTTAGTTTGGGCAAAGATTTTTTGTTACCCATTTTAAGCCATCTCTAAACTTTATTAGTCTGAAAGTGGGTTCATTGTTAACAAATTAGAATGTCTAGCAATATATTTCAAACAGACAGATCTATGTAGTTAAAGGTTAGGCTCATCAAGGCAGAAATCATGATAATAGACTGTAAAAAAGAAAACATTTGTGCTTTGGTAAGAGACCTTCTGCTGAACTGTTCTTACCATGTGAAGTTGCTCCAGCTGCCCTAGCCATGAAACCTGTTTCCATAACAAAATACAGAAGGTTAAAGACACCTAACAACTAAAAGAAAATGTACAAAATAACAACAACAACAAAATAGGTATATATATATATAAACTTGGGTTAACAAAAAAACTCATTAGTAAAAAATAACCATAAAAATCATCAAAAAATTAAAAATAAGTAAAAATTAACTAAACTGAAAGATAATTTTTGTTGTTGCTCATATTGTTATGTGCAAAGCTACATAATGGGTTATCATTATGCTGCCAAACACATGTATTGAAACTCAAATTTTAGCTTTGTAAGCCCCCAGATATACTGCTGAGCCATCAGTGATTGAGGGAGGGGGAGGTGTTTTTTTTGTAAATAAAGTACTTTGAAAGTATTTCTTGACTTAACACAAACATGCACATTACAAAATACAATGTAATGTACATGGAATGCTAACAGTGTTTAATGTAAACTAAGAACCCTAAAAAATAAGAAATACATCACAGTCAACATATGATGAAAAGAAATATCTACAACTGCATGAGAATGTGAATAACTTAAAAATATATCCAAGTAGTGAAAATATGAAATCAAACCTTAATTTTTCTAAAATGTCTAATGAAATATGATAAAAAATAAAAACAAAACGAAAAGAATTTCTATTACGGTGATATCCCTTATACTTAATGTCATTAACAAACAAAGGAATATGGATCAACTTGGGTACCAGGACTATATGAAAAAAGACCTGCAACAAGTCATACCCAAGTCATGGTAAACAAAGAATGTCATTTTGTAATAAGTGAGAATCCACAAACATAAAGGTCAACGGCAAAAGCCATCCACAAACTCCAGGCAATAATATGGAACATAATCAAGAAAGATCTCAGTCTTGAAATGAAGCCAACAGGGTATGGGTTCTTCATGATAAGGATTCCAGCCATACCTCCCATAAAATCGGTGGTATACCCCAAGCTTGCAGCTAGAAAATGAAACAGTATTCATAGTATTTCATATGAAGAGCTACTGATCAAGTTGCTCCAGGTAGTTTACAGATTTCTGTGAAACCACTGTCCTCATACTCTAGATGTATTGTTAAAATAATGCATGGAGGAGTAACTTGATTTGAATATGAAAGCCTTAGAATGGAAATTACACTGCAGGGCTATTTTCAAGATACGTGGCCATCAGATAGAGCATGATCAGACATGTTAAAATTTCTGTATCAACTGGTGAGGCTCCAAAATCCTTTAATGTACCTAATCTCTGCATTTTACAAATACAGTATTAGAAACAAAATAAAGTGCTCGTTTTTCTGGTATCATGCTAGATATAATTTTTGTGTTGTATTTCCACAAAATTAAAAATCATAAAATTGACAAAACTTGTAAGATTGTGTATCTAAGTTTTAAGCAGATAGCTATTGTTTTTAAAGGCTAAAATTATAGAGTGCATCCATGAAGTTTTTTTTTACAATGAATGATATGGGTTCCCCAAAGTATCTGAAAAATGACAATCATAAAAAAAACATTTGTTGTATAAGCAATAGGTGAGGTTGTTCTAATCACTACTTACTTCAAGGAGCATCTTACAGACAGCTTGTGGTAAACATATCATCACTTCTGTTTTCTTATTTCATTTACTCTTACTTGTTTTGCCATTCAGGTTCGAAAGTTCTAATTCCTTAGCTTAATTTTGAGTGAGATATACTTTACTTAATTTATTATATATATATATATATATATATATATATTTCAGCCCTTCCTATTTCATA